GAGGAATTTGAATAGATGAATGCAACAAAAATGATACCAGAAAAAAAAATGTCCTCCACCAGGACTTGAGAGGAGCTATCTATGCTAAAAGGACTATAAGCAATCCAGTTTATGATACTGCCATTCAAGTATTTATTCGGTTAACAGAGATGGGAAAAGAATGCAAGCAATGGGAGGTGTGGTAGGCTGGGTTGACTAGAGAAACAAATCCATTGATACTCATATATGTTAAGAGAGAGCTTTATATCAAGAACTATTTATGAATCAAGAAAACAACCCAGCTCAGTCCAACTCAAGTCCCTAAGTCTGATAATAGCCCATAAATCCCTGTATTAGTCTGGGTACTTTAGAGAAACAAATCCACAGAAACTCATATGTATAACAGAGAGTTTTATATAAAGGCTAAGTACATATCAAGAAAACATCCCAACCCAGTGCTGTCCAAGCCCACAAGTCCAATATTAGCCCATACGTCCGACACAATCCACAAAGTCCTCCTCCATCTCACAAAACGCACGCAATGACGCCTACTGCAGGAGGAAAGCCAAATCAGTGAACGTGTAAGCATCTCAGTGCTGGCAGGGGTCTCCACACGAATGCTCCAGCACCCAGGGCTGCAAAGGGGTAAGTCCATGTGGCTTTTCTTGCAGGAAGTGAGCCTTGCCAGCTGAAGCAGGGAACTGGCTAAGGCAGCTGCACCCTGGTCCGGTCATCACAAAGCAAGAGAACTGAGAACTCAAAAGGTGAGGCTCGCTGAGCCTTTTATCCCCCCACCCTTCAATTAACACCACATGTGTTTATCGGCCAGGTTGACACAATAAACTAACTACCTCAGTCCCTCTTCAGACACACACAGCCACATGCAATGATGCAGAATGCATGAATATCATAGGTTGGTAGGTACAAAGTTGTGCGGATCCAATGGTGGTAGAAGCATCAGGTCTCAGAATGGCCCACCAGCAGGAAGGTGAAGGCAGATAGAGGGGGAGGTTCCCAGGACCCTACTTATGAGAAGGCCACACCCACAAGGAGGCACCATTAGGCTGTGACCTGATTGACAGTTTGAATGCAACCCCTACACTTTTATATATCTTTAAGTTAACGTGAAATTATGTAACTGCCACAGGAGGGTTGATAAGTTATTGAAATTGTAGAATAAAAAAATAATGATCTGATATGTAAGCCTTCAACTAATTTGTAATAAATGGATAGAAAATTTGATGTAATTTATATTACAAAATCAAGGCCTATACTTTGAAAGTAGTTATCTATACAACTATGTTTTATTGAGATGGTTGTTTAGATACCAACAGAATAACCTGTTGAAAGCATCCTATAGACTATGGAGTGTCCACAGGCTCAATAAAGGAGTCAGGCATACTGATAATCATAAATACAGTTCAGGATCAGTCCTGTTATTCATACAGGCATGACGAATTGATGTCAACTCCACATCAACTAATAATAGCAGCATATTTGCATAATACCATCAACTGAGACAGACAGTAGTAGCTAATAAAAGTAGAGAACATCAATTTCTAAGGGATAGTCATATTAAATCAGATTTAATATGATTTTAAGATGAGAGAACATGGAAACTAGATTATTTTTTACATCAGAAACTGATGATTTGCACACAAAAAAACTAAAAAACCAACAGGCAAAAAAAAAAAAAAGAAGAACAAACAGATGAATTTCACCAATAAATGAAACCATTGTTTTCTTCCAAAATGTAATTTTGTATGTCTTTTGAAAATTGTACCATAAATAAACTACTAGATTTACCCTTGGTGTAAGCAAAATGACATCGGAATTATTAATTGTAAGGCCTTTGGGGACTTGCACACACATTTGAACAAGCGCCCTTGTTCCAGGAGTCTCGTTCACATTCTCGGTCCTCGGTCCAGGAGTGAAACAGAGGCTCCACCCACCAGCAGAAAGTTGCAGGAAGGAGAAGGAAGAGCCTCCAGTAATCGCTCCATGACACTGGCGATTTATCTTTCCAGAGACTTTGTTCCCCAGAGAGTGCTTAATTGCACGCCGATTTTAATATGTCACTGGTATTTTTAGTCCCCAAGGCATGCTTATTTCATTACAGAATTCCAGAACCTAAATTACATTTGTCCCTCCTTGCCTTTGCAAAGTATTTTCAGTGGGTTTGTTTTGGTTGTTAAATGTGTACCCATAACTTTTCACTAATAAGAAGAAATGCAATTGAATCAACATAAATCATTTTCCAAGCATTAGCATAACAATCCTATTGTCTGTAGTGGAAATCCCCTGGCACAGCACCCTCAATTTGAGGGCCTTCACAGGTTGATGCTAATGTTCTTAAGTCCATGTGGCTCTCGTGTGTTCTGTAGTTTACTAAAGGGAGGGAGAGTGGGGCAGGGGTAGATCAATCATTAAAAGTCCCAAATCAGGTAGAAGTCCCAGCATTAGGATTAGTTTATATTAACCTAATCTTATTAGAATAATGCACTGCCCCTGAACCCCCCCACCCCCTTTGCCTTCACATTCCTAGTTCCTCCATTTTTAACAGCCAAAGCATATGGTCTTCAGAAAGATCCCAATTGGTAAGGAGAAGAAAATATTTCTAGGCAAACAGGTTAACTATTTGCTAAAGTCAATTTTATGAATTGAACTTCTTTTCCCCAAGGTCATGAACATACAGTAAAACTGAGATTAATTTTCAAGCAGCACTGAGCCTGTGTGTAGAACTGGGTAAGAACTGCAAGACTAGGTCATTTGTAATGAATCAAACTGTGTTTGCAAGATGGGGTAAAGGCATTGTCTATTTTGGAACCTATTTCAATGGGTGTGCACCAAAGTCAAATAAAAAAATGGACCCAAATCACTCTGGGGTGCGGCTGTCAAATTTCACAGTTTTCCTAGTCAGTGGTAGGCAGTTCTCAGAGTCGACCACAGAGCTAGTATTTTCCAGCCTTTGACGTGTACTCTGAAAAGAAATTTAACTCCAATCACTGGAACACAGAGCCAAATTTCTCTGCCCAAATATTTAACTGTTTCATATATTAAATATATAACCGATTAATCTTATATTATGGCAATAAATAAAGAAGTTTGTAACATTTCTAGTAATACCAAGAACCAAGCCAGTGAGGCTTTTCAAATGCATCATCCTATGAATCTCAAAATCAGAAATAAAGCTTACAAAGTAGCCGCAAACCTCATAACTAAGCAACAACAACAAACTGAAGTAGGAGAATTTCAGGGACTTTCATAAGACATATAAGAAAACTGGTTGTAACTCAAAGCACTGTAATTCCAGATCCTGTTTCTTCTAGCTTTTAATTTTTTGTCTATGATTCTGTATTTTAACTAAGAGAAATGGTATTATGAAGCACTGGCTCAGACCAAGTATGTATGGTTTTAATGAAGCAATCTTAGTTGAAACTGAAAAATCAACTTTAAGGAACAAGAGATAAGAAGATAGTGTACATCAGATCACCTATTAAAATAGTTTTAAAAATAAATAAATCCCTAGTGGAAGGAGCAGACAGAAGGGTAGAATTGAAGTGTGGAAGAGTTGAACCAGGTTTAGTCTGTGGGAAATTCGATGATTTTCTTAACTTAAATAAAAACTCTCCAAAATTAAGAAAAAAGAAACAAAGGAAATAGAATAATAGATTAAGTAGCCTTAGAAACTCAAACAACAGTTCTACTCTATCCTAAATGGTCAGAATCTACTTATTTGCAGTAGTTTGGGGTTATACTCAAATAGAATTCAGTTTTTTTATCTTTATCAATTTTTATTTAAACTTAATTTGCTTACTTCCATCTGTAAAGTAAAAATAAATAAGCATATATAATAATCTGTGATGGAACCAAATGGAACCATATACATTCTGTGGAAAAAATAATCAGCTGAAAAAGACAATGCAGACATCAAGGGCCTTAATAACGTTTGCAGATATGATTATCTGTAAAGTTCACATAGAGAGTGGATTTCAAGATTCTTTTTCAGATTTAATAGACAGAATGGGTTCTTATTAACAAAATCCCCTTGTAGATTTTAACCAGTGATTTTATTTTTTATTTTTACCAATCCAGAGTAGATAAACTCTTAAAATTACATAGACTTGCAAATTATTAATTTAGAGGAGGAACATGAACATTTGTGAGCGTGAACCTTAAGGATAGAAAGGTTAGGATAATATTTCCGATAATTCCCTTATAAATAAATCTAGTACATTGTCTTAAAATATATTTTAATGGAAAACATTTCATTAAAAATAATAGTTTCCCCTTGCAAATATTATTAAATACATGAAGATTTATACTTTTCAGGGAAAATATTAACTACTTAAAATGCAATAAAAAGAATAATAAAGAATATTTTATGTAATAAATATCTGGAGTCCTTAGAGAATGATAGAGACTAAAACTTTATTTACTGACAAAGAAAATGCAGAGGTAGAAGTGCTGGTGGATATTTCACTGGGGGTGAATGACGATTCAGTTAGTGTTGAATGATGAACTCCATGTTCAAAAAAGCTAGACATTTTTCAGAGGACTTGAAATCAGTGGTACTCAAACCTTAATAAAGATAAGAATCCCTATGGAGATGGTTTAAAATATACATTTCTGGTTCCCATCCATGGAAAATCTGATTCTGACGGTAGATAGGGGTCCCATTTCACCAGCATCAGAAATAATTGTGATGAACATGCTTCATAAACTGTACTACAGGGTGACGCCATGGTACTTCTTCTACCCATGCAAAAGAAATAGTTTGTTACCAGTCTATAGGGTATCTGATCCCCACCAGAAATAAAATGAACTTTTTTTCTCCCCTGGATTTAATCCTGTTCTTCGGGGCCAGTCCTCATCTCAATCAAAATCATCAGTTGTTCCCAGAAATTGAGACCTGTTAAAACATAGTTGTACCACTTCCGTTTTGAACCAGCCTTCACTGGCAAGGTATTGGTATTTCTTTGTATTTGAATTCTCCCTTGTTTTTATTTCACAATTGTCAGACGTTCACCTTTGCCTTAACTCTGGTCTTCATCCAATGTGTCATCAATGCTGCGTTTGCCAAGATCTTGATCCAGTTTTTTGACACTGCCAGGGTGGATCGTACCCGAGGCTGGCTCTATGCTGCCTGTTCTGTCTCCTACCTGGGCGCCATGGTGTCCAGCAACTCAGCACTACAGTTTGTCAACTACCCAACTCAGGTTCTTGGTAAATCCTGCAAGCCAATTCCAGTCATGCTCCTTGGGGTAACCCTCTTGAAGAAGAAGTACCCACTTGCCAAGTACCTGTGTGTGTTGTTAATTGTGGCTGGAGTGGCCCTTTTCATGTACAAACCCAAGAAGGTAGTTGGAGTGGAAGAGCACACGATTGGCTACGGAGAGCTGCTCCTGCTCTTGTCTCTGACCCTGGATGGACTGACAGGCGTCAGAACAATGTTTTTATGATTGCCCGTGACTATCTTTTATTCATTCATTTCTTTTTGTGACGGTCTTTTGCCTTTTTAAGCATCCTGATGTTCAGAATATGTCCCAGACTTCTTATTTTAGTCGTGTACTGGAAGACTAGATAAATTACAGATCTCCTTTCTCAGCAGTCTGTATGAAGTTTAAACGCAGACTCCTGTTCATGGGATCTGGAATGCTTGTCCATAATTATTTCACCAGAATTCCTCTTGGCTTTCAGGTTGCGAATAGTCCAGTGGTCCATTCTCTATCTTCGTGCTCCTTGATCGAGACGCAGCTTTTGACACAGTTGACCTTTTCTTCCTTGTGGGAAACGTTCTTCACCTGGATTCTAAGACACCCACTGCCCTGGTTGTCCTCTAACCTTGGCAACTGGTTTCTTTTAGTTTCCTCTGATGGTTCTTTCTCATTCTCGGTCCTTAAAACATTACATTGTTGTCCACATACATCCCCCACCTTATTGAATATTTGTGGATATCTGTCAGCAAAACCAGAGCAATCAATATTTTTAACTTTGTCTAAGATTTAAATGCTCTTCATCTTATTCACCATCAACCTTACCTGTAATCTCTCACCAGGATTCTTGTAATAGCTACCTCACTGGTGTTCCTAATTTTGACCATGCCTTTCTATTCTCAACAAAGCAGGCAGAGGTAATTTAAAACAAGCTCTTGGATCATGTTACTCTACTATTCAAAACTATATGAAATGTTTTAAAGGGGGTTTCTCTCCTCTTTAAAAAATTTGATTGGAAAGTAATTTACATATTGTGTAATTCAATCATTCAATCATATCAGTCACCCCCTACATCAATTTTTTTTAGAACATTCCCCCTCCCACGGTTAAATCACCTCCGAGATGAATTATGCAATCACAATCCATTCTAGTGCTCCCTCCCCCTCCGGTCTCTACCATTTACTCCCCAGATATCATTACCCTCCCGATCATACACCCCCACCCCTGCATTCCCCATAACCCCTTGTAGCAGTTATTCTCATTCTGCACCCATTCCTCCTGTGCTTCAAAGCTGGGAGATGCAACAGAAAACAATGAAAAACAAAATCGGGCTAAGGTGGTAAGGCTGAAAATCATAGTATACAGACAAAGGTACAAAGATGGGACAGACCCACCCCCCCCCAACAACATTCCAAACACCAGGGAAGGAATTTCTTTCATGGAACCAATAGGAGATACTTGCACTCAGAACATCTTCAGGTCCCGTCTATAGGATGGTCAGCTGGCTAAGTATCAAGGTTGATCCAGCATAGTCAAGCTTACGATGGTCTCTGCCTGTTAGGTGGGCTGTGGGAGACACTTGTCTGTGGCTACAGCGGATCTGCCAGTGGCTCAGCCTGACTAGATATTCTGCAGATGGGTTTGGGGCACCTCCCATTCCCTGAAGCCCTACACAAACTGGGTGTTTCATAAGTTTTTGCTTTGATGTTTTTCTCTTCCCCATATTCAAGATTTGTAATTGTCATCTTTGGATCACACAAGCTGGTGTGCTTCTTCCGTGTGAACTTAGTTGACTCCTCACTTAGAGGGCTGCTTGTTTGAATACAAGCCTTTAAGACCCAAGACAGTATTCCCATTGTTAGCTGGGCACCATCTGCTTTCTTCACCACACTTTGCTGTAACACCCTTATTTTGTAACACCCTTACCTGTAGTGATCATTTCATGAAGGTGAGTATTGAGCAGGGATCAGATGTAAGAACTAATGTTCTTAAATTGGAATTAGGATTTAGTGCAAGCTCAAAACCCATCCTTGGAACTATGCTTTTTTTTTTTTTTTTTTAATTTGGTGTAACTTGGGAGCCAATGTATATGTCATATCCTTCCATAATTCAATCATGTCAAACACAATTGTCCAATCTCTTCCATAGTAATACATGTTTTCCAAAATAGACTTTTCCTTCCTGGACTTCTTGGCATCATCTCCCTCTTATCTCGCCTCTCCTCTATCCTTTTCCCCAAAATCCCTGTTATAATTTCTTCCTCTGTAGGTTCAACATCCCTGGGCTTCATTTACTGAACAATAAAGAAACGACACAGCTTCAAGAACCCCATTGAGCATAAGTAGGATATAATAGAATGGTCATCACAGGGTTACTAGGATAATACATATCTTAATACAGCACACAGGGAGGGCACTGATGTACCAAGACCTTGTTTATTTGACAACCAACAGTACACCGCTCTTGTTCCACCTGTCTTCTTCTCCCTCAGACACTGTGTTTTCCTGCTTAAGTTCTCGGGTTAAAAGGGTGTCTCCGGTAGAGTCCAGATCACTCAGTGGAATTCCCAGTCTCACTGATGTAGCCTCTGGAGCATGACAAGCACCCCAAAGATCCAGGACTCAGAGTCCCAGTGTCTTTAATCTGACCAGGGTTTCAGAGATAGCCCCAGATGTGCTAGGTCAATTCTGTCCTCCTGTTGCACGCCAATAAAGACCCTCCCTACCTAGTGATCCCAAAGGCATCCTCAGACTCTCCTCCTCCTGCCTGGATGTCAGCCCTACCTCCCCTGGCCCAACAGACATGTACCTATGTTCACCCTGACTTGACCATTCCCTCTCCTCTCTCCTGTGCTGCTCCTCCCATCAGTAAGCCTTATCCCGCTGGCAAGGCCTCCTCCTTCTTCAGGGGACCTCACCCCAGATCCAAATGCCTACCACTCAGCAGACAGCATCACCACCCACCTCCCCCAACCACTTGATCTCAGCTGTTGTCAGCTGCTGCCTGATCAAGTGACCTACACTATACTTACTTGGAGTGGATGCTGTGTGGTTCACTGACACAGTTCATGGAAAAGTCCAGCTCTTTTCCAGGCTGTCTGGTCTCCCACCAGAAGACTGGATTCAAAAAAAGTATAATTTAAATGTCCGATATTAGCCCATATGTCTGATACCAATCTATAAATTCCTCTTCACATTCACACAATACATGCAATGGCGCCAAATGCAGGAAGATCACAGTGGGTGGAAAGTCTTGTGGATCCAGTGGCAGTGGAAGTTTCTCAACGCTGGCAGGGATCTCCACATGGCTCCTCCAGCTCCAGGACTCTGGCTCCATCAGTGTGTCTCCATGTGACTTGTCAGCAAGAATGCCTCGCAGGGAGAGTCTGTGTGTCCCATTTCCAAGGAGGAAGACAGGAATTCCTAGAATGCTCAGGAGAAGGCCATGCTCAAACAGAGGCCTCATTGACTGTGACCTGATTGATAGGCTAGATTCCATCCCTTCACAAGCTGACAGATTATGTAACTGCCACATGTATGGTAATTTTTAATGAGCTGGAGAAGAGGGTTATGGAAGATGCAATTTTACTTGGTAAAGTTAAAGGAGGTTGTGTGTTGCTGAAGTGGAGGGAACCGGTGCCAGAGGCTATCGTGGTTGGGGGAAGGGAGGGGTATAATGAATCTACTAGAGTCCCTTGTCGACCCTGAGTATTATGTAGGGACAGTGTTTGGTGGTATGTTGTTTTGCTACCTTGTGATCTTGTAGGGTGTCAGAGTGGAGGTGAGGTTCAGGCTAGGGGGTGATGTCATGTCTTGTATGGCTGTGAGAGCTGTATTCTTGTGATTTGAGTTAATTATCTTGAGAAAATTTACCTCTGGAGAGGATGGGGTTTGCTCTTTTTTGGGTGGTGGAGGTGGCCAAGTGGGGGTGTGGGGATGGGATATATTCCTGTCAACTACCTAGGTAGCCTAGGAGGGGTGGAGTATAGCATTGTCCTACTCAGCAGGCCAATGTCTTATGTGTAAGACTTGCTTTACTGACTTGCTATTATGTGTGTGTGATCTTTGAGCAGGCTCTGTGCCCCTATGACTCTCTGTCAAGTCCAACCTAGCCAAAACTGTTTTTAGCTCAGGCTGCTGCTTTTTGAAACCTGGTGGTTTCTCCCTGTTTTGTTATGTTAAAGCTTTGTTGATGAACCAGGTGTCTGATGGTTGCAATCCCAGAAGTTAAGGAAGCAAACAAAGCTTCAGTGTGACCACAATTTTTAAGGTTTTTAAAGGGCTTTAGGGTGTTGTGGTATGGGGCCTGTGCCACACTGTCCCCCAGGGAAGGGGGATTAGATTGGTCGAGTGGGTTTGGGGCTCACTGAGTCTGCGTTCTCTACTCTGCCTGCTCTCCCCTGCCCTGTTGGCTCACTCCTGCATGCCTTGGTAGCAGTGTTCTGGGAATCTGGAATCTGCCATGGATAAGTGACCCGGGATTCTTCTAATAAGCAGATGCTGCTGCTCTCTGATTGTATAAATTTGTGTCTAATTATCTTTCATTACACCACACGGACGGGCCACCGTGTGCAGAGGTTGGGTGAAGGGGGAATAAAGCAGTCAATGCCATGCCTCTGGTCCTGGGAGGGGAGGCTGGGGGTAAAGCCCATGAACTTGTGAGTAGAGAGGGGAGTTCCAGGGTGAGTTCTCAGGGCTGGTTTTTAGAGGTTCTCCATGGGCCTGGGACTATGACCCACACTTGGTCAGCAGTCTGTCTGGGGAAATTACAGCATGCTCACTGGTGGGTTGTGAATGTAGAGTGAAGGAATGGGTGGCAAACGCCATCCCACTGGTCCTGGGAGGGGGTGTGGAAAGCCCATGGGCAGGTGCATTGAAGTTAGAGAGCCACAGCAAGCTCTTGAATCACTGCGTGGGAGAAAATCAGAAGGGGAGGTCTGAACCACGAACCTTAGGATACTGGGATTGTATTTCCAGCACCCGGTCTTCCAAGAATGGCCTCCTTGCTCTTGATTTTCTAATCTAACGATGGACACCCAGAACGGGTGATTCTACATAGTCGCCATCTCCATGGAAGTCTCCCAAACTAAAAATGTTTATGATGGCCAACAAGGTCTTGTATGACCCAGCTTCTCATGACCATTCTGACATTGTCTTTATTGTGCTTTCCTATACTCCACGTGAGCCATTCTGAGTTCCTTCCTATATGTCATATCAAAGACATACCTCAGAGCATTTGAACTTACC